CATCGATGTTGATCTTCAGTTTATCTCCCCGTGACTTGTCCACGTAGAGTTCAGGGTGCACCTGGGCGGCACCGCCTCAGTAAGATTTGGCCTCCTGCCTCTTCCTCTCCCATCCCCATCCAAGACCCGATTCCTAGAAAGCCCGGCGCCGCGCACGGCCTCGGCCCCGCCCCTTACCTCCGTGGTCAGGTAATACTGCAGCTCGGACAGGAACAGCAGCAGCATGAGAAGCCCGCTGACAATGGTCACTGCAGGGCAGGGGCGAGGGTCAGAACGGCCTCGGCTCAGCTCCCGCAGCCCCGGACAGGCCGGCTGCCTGCAGGAGGCCCAGCCAAACTCCTGGACGCCCCTCTCCCCGCGGCCCCGGCCCGCCGCCGCCTACCCGTGGCGCCCCCACAGGTCTTGACCCGGAAGTCCTCCAGAGTCTTAGGGTAAGCATCGAACTGCTTCAGCTTCCCCAGCGCCTCCATGGGGACCAGCCGGAAAGGGGATGACAACCGGTCTGCCCCTGCAGCCTCCAGCTTCCGGCCAGGAGTTCGAGCCACGCCCCCTCTCCGCACGCAGGCGCAGTAGCGCGCGCGCTTGGCCCCGCCCCTCACCCGCTTGGCCACACCCTCACCCCTTGGCCACACCCTCACCCGCTTGGCCACACCCCTCAGCCGCTTGGCCCCGCCCCTCCACGCGTTTTCACTCGCTCCTCCCCTCCTCCCGCCACAGGTGCTGCAGGCAGCTTTGTGGGATGGACGTCGCCCCCAATCAGGGTGATCCTCTGTGGACCGGGGTGCCCGGAGGCGGTCTCTGCGGGCTACAAAGAGCAATAGCGGCACTCGCTTGCCTAGCAGCTTCTGCAAGGAATTGAGACAAGAGTTTCACATCAGACTTCTTGGAACCACTTGGAACCTCCTGGAATAGTGGTTTTCCAGGTGTCCCCATCCAGCAGCCTCATTATTACCTGGGAACTGGTTAGAAATGAAAAATGTCGGGCCCAACCACAGACTTTTGGAATCAGAACCCGTTGGTGTGGTTCTCAAGTTACAAGCTTGAGAATCTATAGGAAGTAGGTGTGCCGTGGTGCATTTCATGGAGGAGAAACTAACTGGCCTGGAGAAGCTAGATAACGTGCCCTAATCCCAGCTCATTAATGGCAGGACCTGATGCCAACCCATTTCTTCTGGCCCTCAAAGTCTGGGAGCCAGGGTCCTTGGGCTGATTTTACTGGAACAGCACCAGTGCTTCTGAGTATGTCTCCTGGTGGTGCACAGCTCAAATCGTTTCAGTGAGGTGAGACCAGGGCTTTGATGAGAGGTGGCTCAGGGGACTGCGGGCGTCTGTAGGAGATGAGTGAGGATTTTAAATATATTTTTTATTGATTTTTATTTTTAGAGAGAGAAGAGGGAGAGGGAGAGAGAGAAACATCCATGTGAGAGTGAAATATTAATTAGCTGCCTCACGCATGACCCCTAATAGGGATTGTGCCTGCAATCATGGGCATGTTCCCTGACTGGAATCAAACTGGCAATTTTTCAATGCACGGGACGACTCCCAACCAAGTGAAGGATTCTGAATTTTATTCTGAGTGCAATGGGACACCATTTTAAGGATCTAAGTAGGAAATTAGTTTAAGGTCATGCCAGTTACTGGGTGAAGAATGGGTGACGAATGGATACGATGCCATGATAATAACCTGGTTTTTATTTAACAGGAAAGGAGGAAAGGGGAGATCCATTTATTCAGCTTAGCCATAAAGCTGCATTTAACATTCTCCAAGTCTGTTCCCTGCTGATTGTGCGGGGAAGGGACTGAACAAAGGTAACTTAGACGCATGCCCAGTAAAGGTCTGAGTTACAAGGGAGGCACTTGCCTGTCAATCATACGTGGAAACAGGTAATTGGCCAGGATAGGCATGGCCACTGCAAGCTGGAGAAACCTAAATATTTAAACTTCTAAACAAAGAAGTAAGTGCTTTCTCTCTCTTCTCTGCCACAGATGGGATGGAAGCAGATATACCAGTTAGGAAGCTGTTGCAGGTTGTGGGAAAAAAAAAACACATTATAAGCCCATCTGTAAAAAAAAATAAATAAATAAAAATTATTGATTTCAGAGAGAGAGAGAGAGAGAGATAGAAACAGCAAGGATAAGAGAGAAACATTGATTAGCTGCCTCCTGCATGTCCCACACTTGGGATTGAGCCACAACCTGGGTATGTGCTCTGACTGGGAATCAAACCGTGACCTCCTGGTTCATAGGTTGATGCTCAACCACTGAGCCACACTGGCCGGACTCTTTTTTTTGAAAAGATGGAACCAAGACCAAGAAAAGATCAAGTGTTCCTGCCAATTGCACACAGCTCACTGTTGCTGACAGGGGACAACACCTACATCTGCTAACTCCCAGTTCAGCTCCTTCTCACGTGCGGCCTGCCTCAAGAGAACGTGGTCTCCTCCCGGATGCCGGAAAGGGGCTGTTGCTCCTGTCTCGTGGAGTCTTGAACGGTTACTGTTTACATCTTCTTTTCTTCTTCCCTGTCTTCATCTTTGAAGGTAAAAGAAGTTCCAGAACCCCGTTATCCACCTCCAACACTCCTGTGATTCTTTCCAGTCTGAATGCCACAGGCATCACAAAGAGTTCCAAACACTTTCACTAAAACTGACGCAGGGTCTTAGAGAGGAATCCGCTGACACATTGATGGATTAAGTGGGCATGCACAGCCAATAGACTGGCTAACAGGAGAGGAATGAGAGAAAATACCCTGACAGAAGTTTGCTATTTTTTTTTTGCTCATTTTTCTTTTTTTATTGAATTTATTGGGGTGACATTGGTTAATAAAATTATGTAGGTTCCAGGTGTACAATTCTATAATACCTGCATATTGTATTGTGTGCTCACCATAAATTGTACACTTTAAAATGGTTAAAATGATTAAGTTTAAAAAAATATAGAGAGAGGAAGAGAGAGGGATAGAGAGTAAGAAACATGGATGAGAGAGAATCATTGGTCAGCTGCCTCCCGCAACCCTCCCCTCCACTGGGGATGTGCCCGCAACCAAGGTACATGCCCTTGACCGAAATTGAACCCAGGACCTTTCAGTCCGCAGGCCGATGCTCTATCCACTGAGCCAAACCGGCTTTGGCTAAAATGATTAAGTTTTTGAGTGTTATAACAGTAAAAAGATTATATCAATTGACATAAGTAAATCAGCAATTCAACTTACTATGTATTTTTTTCTGGATGATTTAAAAATATTTTTATTTGAAAATAATTATAGGCACATAAGATATTGCAAAAATAGTAAGAGGTCCCATGTACCCATCAAACAATTTATCTCTCTCTCTCTCTCTCTCTCTCTCTCTCTCTCTCTCTCTCTCTTTTTAACCCCCCTGAGGATATGTTTCATTAATATTAGAGAGAGGAAGGGGGAGACACACACACACACACACACACACACACACACACACACACACAGAGCGAGAGAAAGAGCAAGAGAGACATTGATTCAGTCGGTTGCCTCTCATATATTCTGTAACTGAGGATTGAACTCGGTATGTGCCTGACCGAGAATCAAACCCGCAACATTTTTGGTACTGATGCTGTTTCTCTTAATGGGAGCATCTTACCATATACCGTGTTTCCCCAAAAATAAGACATCCTCCGAAAATAAGACCTAGCACATGGAAAGATAAGACATCCCCTGAAAATAAGACCTAGGGCAACTTTGGGAGAAAAAATTAATATAAGACACTGTCTTATTTTCGGGGAAACAGGGTAGTACCAATATTACATTTTCAAACCAGGAAATTGACACCAGTACAATATAATTAACTGGATGACAGACCTTACTCAAATTTTTTTTGTGTGAATTGTTTTAAAAGCTATACAATACCCAGGCTAGGCTTGAATTAAGGGGTGAGAGTGGAGAGGAAGCGGATGCAGTTTGGAGACAGAAGCAAATGGATTGACCCCACCAGTGTGGTGCAGTGGCTGAGCATCGACTCATATGTGAGGAGATTACGGATCCAATTCTGTCCAGGCACCTGCCTGGGTTGCAGGCTCGACCCCTGCGGCAGGTATGCCGGAGGCTGACAATCAATGCTTCTCTCTCTCTCTCCCTGTCCCTTCCTCTCTGTGGAGTCAAAAACATGCATTTAAAAATGTATTTGGAAATCATAGGAGAGGGAGAAGTCAAGGATAACACATGGCCTTCTGTCTTCAGCAACCGAGTGAATGGTGAGACCATCTAGAGAAAGAGAAATCGTGGGAAAGAATTGGTTTAAAGGGGAAAATCTGAATTCAGTCTCAGGCTTGTTCAGTGTGAGAGGTCTCTGAGACATCTTAGTGGAAGTCCAATAGCTGAAGGAGATAGGATTAAGAGGAGAGGAGAGGGGAGGAGAGGAGAGAGGAGGAAAGGAGAGGAGAGGAGAGGATTGGATTCTGAGCTGGTTCCACAATTGGAGAGGGGGTATTACACAAGAACAGGATTTAAATTCCCTCTCAACCCTGTTCCTGTACCCCGTAAACGTTTATGATATGGCTCTAAGTTTTAGGGATGCAGAGTAAAGAAGACAAAGTTGGTCCCTGCCTGCATGGCTTTCCCAGTCAGTGTGGGCGGCTGTGTGTTACAGACAGGGCAGGCTAAAGGGGGGAGTCACAATGTGCACTTTGTGATGGGACCTGTGGTATAAATGGGTGGCAGATGGACCCCACTGAGAGCCAAACTTGCCTCCTGCAGAGAGGGTACAGGATACACCATATATTACCTTTCTGCTCTTGCACTTATATCCCAGGCCCAGTTAGAGTCCCACTTGAGGTGAGCAAATGGATAAGGAGGCAGAAGATGAGGGTTTGGGAGGAAGTATGGTATGGAGGACTGAGGAGCCATGGAAGCCAAGGGGACAGAGGCCTGGAGGGGACAGAGGCCATTTGTGATCACATTCCTTTGCCCCTGTCCCAGGTGGAGGAGCCAGCTTACTGCCTGCCCATGGAAGCCATCGCCTAAGCCAGACATGAAGTGCATGTGGCAGATTTGTGTCCTATGGGTCTTCTGGGTGCTCATCTTGTGCCTCACGGTTCCCTGCCTGGATCAGAAACCTGACTCGGCACCCCGGGAAAAAGTGATGCACTTGGCACCACGGCATGGCAACTGCCTTTGGTTTAAGTTCAGGAAGCACGGCTGCCCACCTGAGACCCTCAACGACTCCCTCTGCCACCGCCCCGTCCGAGGACAGAGCTGGTTTGATGCATGCTATGAGAGGACGATGGGGTACCTGGTGGGGACAACAGCATTCATGGCCCCTGATTCTGTGCTCTGGTGGTTGGTCAGTGGTTAACGCTGGGCCTAACCATGCCCCTGTCCTTTCCAGGCCTAGCCCATCTCCCACTTTCAGGCCCAAACCCCTATCTTGACTCTGGTTTAGTTGCACCTTTCATCTTCAGAGCCTCAGCCCCTGAGCTCTAGATGGCGCTCTCACCCACCTGGGGCTGCTTTCCTTCCACTGGGAGCTGATACCCGGGTCCTAGCCCTCACCCTCCTCCCTCCGGCTGTTTCCAGGGCATGAACTCGACAAGCGAGCTGGGCAAAATGTGGGAGAAGCTGTTCAAGGTGATTCTCAGGCCCTCGGTGAGCCATAGCCATCTGTACTGCAGGACATGCATGCTGCTGGGGAACTCCAAGCTCCTGCCGGCCTCTGGCGTCAGCAACAATGTCACCCGGCATACCACGGCCTTCGGGTGGGTGCTGAGGAGAGGGCAGGGGCAGGGAGGCCCAGGCCTGCCCCCGGAGTTCTGCCAGTTTCTGTTCTCCTCCTCAGGATGAGCCAGGGACCCATTCAGAGCTTCAAGACGGTAGGGAACCAAACCAGGGGACGCCCCATCTGCCAAAGGAGTGTGGGGGAGCAGGGCTACTGGACACAGCTGCTTCTGCTGGTCCTGAAGCTGTCTGGGCTGGCGTGGACCTCAGATGCTCTGAGCCAGGAGGTGACGGTCTGGGCACTCAGACAATCTTAGCACGGAGGCGCGGGGAGGTGACTGCAGGGTAACCTACAGAGGCAGCTGCAGGCCATGCCCGGGTCTCAGGAGCTGCTGAGACTCCCCCACCTCCTACTTCTTTCTTAGATTTTGGAAGAAGATCTCATTCCCTAGTGGAATGGAACATAGCACAGACCAGGTAGGGGATGAGAGGGAGAGAGCTATGGCTTGGGCTGCTGTGGGAAGGGCCCCAGGGAGGCAGGCCCCCTCCCCCTTCTTCCCCAGGTCCTGGTGATCAGCTCCAACTCCTCATACAACCAGGGCAATAGGCCAGTAACCAGGGCCAGTACCCACGCCTAGGGGCTCATGGCTGCTCTGTGCCTCGTCCATCTGTGACCCGGTTCAGTGTCATATCCCTTCCTCACTTAACACTTTTTGCCCCTATTACTTCAGCACAGAGCCTGACATTTTCTGCCTGGCTTTCAAGACCCTGCATGGTCTGATTCCTTCCCTCCTCTTTCCCAGGCTCACACTCTTGGCTTCTTGGTATTCCCCCAAACACACCAGCTGCCTCGGACCTTCTCACACACTGCTCCCCCGCCCTGGAGTGCCCTTCTCCTGTCTTCCTGGGGAATTCCTTCTCTTCCTCCCATATGAGGAGGAGCAGCCAGTGGGGGCTCTCTTTTCTGGACTCAGGTCACTGTGTGTGTTCCTCGGAGAAGGTGAACTCCATTCTCCTCCCAGCTCCAATTCGATGTTGAATAAGGGGAAGTGGGACAAGGACAGTCTACTAACACATACATTCATCTCTCATCCACCAGGATGCCCGCTTTGGATTTTTATCAGAGAAGCAAGGAAAACGGGAGAAAGTTAATCAGATATGCCTAGCACAGAAGCAGAATTGGAAGTCACCATCAACAGCTAACGCCTTCAGAGTCCACACAAGTCCTAGCCCTTTAGTCCTGAAAGCAGGGGAATCATGGGACTGTAGCAGCAACAGCAGAGCTACGAGGACTTCCAGGGGTGAAGGGCGAGAGGAAATTGTGTGGACATCGGTCGGGCACTGAATAAAATCCTGGTCTGATTTTCTTACCTGCGAGGACAGTGTCAGGAGAGGAATGGCCAGACTTGACTCGCGGATCTCAGGGGACTTTCTGTGCCTGAGCCCCCGATCACGCAGATTGTATGATTTAGACCCAACCTCACGCAGAGTGCAAGCCCAGACGGAGTTCTTGGGGGGAAGCTCTTTTCCCCTGAGAGGAAAGAGATGAGCCTCCGTGTTTCATCCTATGCCGGAGGGTGAAATTTTTCTAGCTCAGCTTTTCACTGAAGGTTCAGTTTTGTCCCAATTCTCTGCCTCCCCTGTACTCAGCGTCCTCTGGAACTCCTTCAGCCACCCAGGTAGCTCAAGCACTCCCTGTGCTTCATTTCTCTTTTCATTCCTGGCATCTGGGGACTTCCTGTTTTTCTTTCTCTGCTCTCTGCTCAGCATTTAAAATAGTTTCTATAAAAAACTCTGCTCTGTCTCTCTCTCTCTCTCTCTCTCTCTCTCTCTCTCTCTCTCTCTCTCTCTCTCTTTCTCTCTCTGTTTCTCTATGTTTCTCTCTCCCTCTCTCTCCTTCATATATGTATAGAAAACATATACATACATGAAGGATAGACAGACAATAGGAATAGTAAATAGTTGCTTCTGGGGCGGAGGGAAGAGACTGGGTAGGTAGAAAACTAAGGAGGAATGGATGTTTCTTTTCATATATTTTTGTACCCTTTGGCCTGTGTGCCATATTATACATATTCAAAAATAAATACAATTTTAAAAACTTAATACTATGTTTTGACCAGCAGTTCTGAATTTTTGTAGTAGGAGAGATATTTATTTATGTATAGAATAGTTTAGACTATACTTTTTAAAGTTGAATTTATTGGGGTGACATGGGTTAATTAAACCACACAGGTTTCAATGTACAACTCTACATCGTCTGCTCACTGCATCTTGCATTCACCACCCAAAGTCAAGTCTTTTCCGCCACCATTTATCCCTTCTTTGCCCCTTCCCCCTCCATCCAACCCTTTTCCCTTTGGCTCTCACCATTCGGTTGTCTGTGTTTGTTTTTGTGTGTGTGTGTTTTCTTTCTTTTTAAAAAAATATATTTTATTGATTTTTTACAGAGAGGAAGGGAAAGAGATAGCTAGAAACGTCGATGAGAGAGAGACATAGACCAGCTGCCTCTTGCACACCCCCTACCAGGGATGTGCCCGTAACCAATGTACATGCCCTTGACCGGAATCGAACCTGGGACCTTTCAGTCTGCAGACCGCTAAGCCAAACCGGTTTCGGCATGTGTGTTTTTTCTTAATCCTTTCACCTTTTTCACCCAATCCTCCAATGCCCTTCCCTCTTATAGCTGTCAGTCTGTTCTTTGTGTCTATGTGTAGTCAGAGAGTTTTTAGATATCTTTAATTCATTATTTTGCTAGAACTAGAGTCAAAACTAAGTCTTCATAGCTCTCCTGCAGTTCCATGAACTGGGTGAGTATGTGATAAGGCCAGCGAGTTCCACGGCCAGCAGATCATTACCTTATTGCTGTGGAAAACAGTTTGGCAATTCCATATGAGCCAGCAATTTCACTCTTAAGTAGATAACCAAGAGAAATGAAAGCATATGTCTACACAAAAACCTGTACACGCGTTTATAGCAGCATTATTCACAATAGCCAAAAGTAGACACTACACAAATGTATCAGTGGATGGATGGGTAAACAAATTATGGTTTATCTATACAATGGGATATTATTCAGTTATTAAAGGGAGCAGAGTTTTAATACATGCTACAACTTGGAAGAACTTCAGGAACATTATGCTTAGTGAAGGAAGTCAGGCACAAAAAAACAATTTTTATATGATCTATCCAGAAAAGGCAAATATACAGACATAGCAGATTAGTGGTTATCAGAGGCTGAGGCAGGAGAGAATGGTGAGTGATTATTTGATAAGTACAGGGTGCTTTTGAAAAGTCTTGAGTAGAGAGATCTGGTAGCCACACAACACATGAGTACATCAAATTGTACACTTAAATGACTCATTGTATGTTATGTGAATTTCACTTAAAAAAAAAAGCAGTTGCACACAAATACACGTAATAATTACAACTATAACATTAAAAGCATACAAAATTAAATAATATATTGTTTAGATATATATACACTGAGTGGCCAGACTATTATAATCTCTATATGCATAATAATCTGGCCACTCAGTGTATATCCTATATATTAAAAGGCTGGCAGGACCCCACCCATGCACGAATTCATGCAGCAGGCCTCTAATATATACTGAGTGGCCAGCACACCCCCTAGTGGGGATTAGCATGCAACCCGGGCATGTGCCCTTGACCTGAATCTAACCCAGGACCCTTTAGTCTGTAGGGTGATATTCTATCCGGAGGCAAAGCAGCTAGGGCTCTATTTAATTTTTAAATCATGTGCATGCAATTGTTTCATTTTAAATTAAATGAAAAGAAAATATACCAAAAAAGTTTGGTTGGGTAGATATTTAAAAGGTTTTTGTATAGATTCTTTCCTCAAGCGGGGCCAAAGGCTCTTCCTTTCCCCTCTCTACTTCCTGCTTAACAACCCTGCACTGGGAATAGAGGTCACCCCTCTCAAATAATTCCTGGCACATATTCTTGCCCTTTTCCTTTCTGTCTCCATTACACTTGATTTCCAAGTCCTCCCATACCAGCTGGACCCTGATTAAATGCCAAGGTGTGGGCGGTCTTATCCACAAAGTCTCCGTACAGGAATTCCATGTGATTTGTGTGGTGGAGTCCTTGATAAAACTGGACTGGCATGAAGGACCTCATTGGGCATCAACCCTTTCTCAAGCGAGGTCACAGGACAAACCAGACGTCACCCCTCCCTCCTCTCAGCCTCCTCAGAAGAGCACCCTGTGCGGCTTAGCAGGTAGCTGTGGAGAGAGGAGGCATGTTGGGAGGAGAAGTGATGAAGAGGGTTGAGGAAGTGAGGGAGGCTGCCAGGGCAGAGGGTGGAGTCTGTGACCATAGCTTCCTACTTTTCCCAGTGCTTGGTGCTTGAGTCAGCCTGCCACTTGCCCTGTGCCTTCTCCTCTGGGACAGGAACAAGGCCTTTATGGTAGTTTTTAGGTTTGTCGGCTGCCTTGATGCTCACGTATGGGCAATGTTTCTGCTCTCTGGTCGTATCCAATCACCTTGACAAACACTTTGGAAGGGCCGTCAGCCTCCTCTTTCTCCAAATGTTCTGTGACACTTCCCCTGGCCTCATCCTGAGTGGCCAGTGAGTGTCTTCTGGGCATCCAGGCCATTCTACGAGTGCCTATGTCCAGGCTCTGTACCCCCGGGAGATGAGCTGCTCCTCTGAGTGCCTATTGTGGAGCTTTGTGACACACAGGTTTAGTGAGTGTTTGCCAAATGAGTGTAAAGCTGGATTAGGGGCAGGGAGCAGCAGCCAGCCCATGCTTTCCATCCATCCACAAGGCTTTGCTATTTGAGGTTGGGCAGACAAGCTGAAGAGGTGGGCCCTTACTCAGGGAAGATAGTTACATCCAAAGGCATGACTTGTTGAGTCCTAAGGCAATAGCAAAAGGTGAGAAAACCAGCCAGCTCAAAAGTGAGACTATTCTTGGCCAGCAACAAGCCTTAGATTCTTGGATCTGACTGATAGGGCTAGAATATTCAGATACAGGAGAGATGATGACAGGAAATAAGATAGGAGGTGCAGGCATTGAATAAAAGCCTTCCCTGATTCCTTCACCTTAACAATACTAGTCATTAAAGAAGAATCAAATCTGAATACTAATTCTCACCCCCCTCCCTGCCTCATACAAATGGCCACGTGCTGGGAATAGGGAACATCCAGGCTCAGAGGGACACCTTCCAGCCTTAGCAGAGTCCCATCTCTCTGCGGACCCCTGACCCATCCAACTTTTTACCTCTAAGCCCTTCCAGTGTTATCAAGCTTCAGCCTTATGAAGGCATATAAACAGCTGGTGGTGTTGGCAACAAAGGACTGAGAGAAAAGAGGCCATACTGTGTACTCTGACAGGCTGCTGAGGTAAGTGAATGAGATCAGCAGGTCAAGGGAGCGCAGTCCTTCCTTCCTGGAGAAGCCTCACTGCCCATCCTTACTTCCTCCAGG